AACACACACACACACACTATCTCAGCCACCTTAGCAGTCAGGTCTCCAGATTGCTCTCCAAACCCATATATCCTCTCTGCCAAACACCAACCTTTTTCCTGCCATACGCCCTGAACTTCTAACGCCAACCTTAAAAATTTACCCTATGCCACCCATTGCCTAAATTTTAACGGTAAACCATATTAGTATGCAATCCATCAAACATTGTAAATATTAACCTTAAATACAATGTATCCATACAAATAAAAGCCAATAAGCAATATAAAAAGGTGTATGAAAAAGGGAGTATACCATTTTTAATAGGCTTGTACATGTTTCTCCCACTGAAACAAATTTTAGAAACAGACAGAAGCAACAGTAATAATAAGAGTCACCATCCACTAACACAATGCTAGAAGTAGTGGATTGTGTCAGCGCTGGGGCTGATTTGCTAGAGCAACATGGCAAAGTTTTAGAGGTATTTGTCTTCTCTGTGAAGTCAACAGTAGTCAAAAAAATCTTAGACACAAAAAACAAAACGTAGAGCACAGCCAAGCTTAGGTGGCTGCACGACACTTTCTAAACTTAAAACACAGACTTTTCCTAATCGTCCAATGCTGGGCTGTACAAGTGGAGCAGACAGTACAAACACTTTACTAGCCAACCATAAACTCGAATGTTAAAGTTTCTGTGAAAGGTAAAATGATGTCTTCTTAGGTGCACATCTTTAGGATTCATTTTCTCTTTATGAAAATTACTGCCTGTTCCATGACAGCATATATCATTTTATGCAGTCACCACCAATGAAAAGTAGGCCCTGCTCACACCAATGCACATTGTGAACGCGCGTCAAACTTACATGTTTCAGGAGGAAAGCACTGCTACTTCTTGATGTGCACTACAACCTTTAAGCCCTATTCACACTAGGGTGTATCATGAACACGTGTCAAACGTGTAAACTTCGACACGTGTTCACAAAACATGCACATGTGCAGGGGTGCACAATTCCTATTGCCTGATGCCCAGTTCCATGACCCGGGCAGGTGGTTTTTTTTTTGTACATCTAGCCCTGTTGCGGACAAGCAGGGCTACATGTAGAGCGGGGGAGCCACCGCTCCTTTTGCACAAGTAATCAGCCGCCCAGGGTAAAGCAGGCTGCTACAGACAACTTGTAGCAGCCTGCTTAACCCCAAACGTGGTTTTTCCCTGTGAACACACAAATGCGCAGGAAAAACCCGTGGCATGCATTTCACCAAACTTGCATCATGTACTTTTCCACGGCTGGTGGGCGTCCAGGGACCCAATGCGGACGCCCCAATGCCAAACATGGGAAACAAAGTCCCATAAACTTGCGCAAACACGTGTTCCTGCGACGCGCATCTCCGCTACACCCTGGTGAGAACAGGGTCTTAAACATTTAAAAAACTGCCTCCAACACTCACGCATCTGACATGTAACTATATTACACATATATTTTGTAGAAGTCTATTTACATAGACTTTATTTCCCTCGTTTGTTGTGGGTCCCTATTAGGTCCCTGAACGTGTGCCAACCGCAGAAAAGAAGTACATGTGGCAAAATTGGTGACAGGTGTTCCATATTTTTCCCCACGCGCAAATTTACGGGGAGAAAACCACGTTTGCTTGGCCACGTTTGGGGGTGCCATTAGCTAGTAATGGCAACTCAAGTGTGTTCCACGTTTGGCACACATTCACAATACACAGTAGTGTAAACGGGGCCTAGGAGGCTTTTTCACAACATATACAGTTCATTGCAGTGTTTTGCATCCTGGCCAACTCACTGCGTTCAGGGGCGGGAGGGGGCGTCACGCCCCCTCCAGAACGCAGGCCTGCGTTGCGGTCCAGTGCGCATGCGCTATTTTTTCCCGATCACACTGGACCGGAACGCAGGCATTGTTGTGTCCGTGTTCTGGTGCAAGCGATAGCACTGCGGGCAGCGGGGCGTGGCTGCGTTGCCATTGACTTCAATGCACTGCCACTGGAACGCACTTTATATAGTGTTAACAAGCCCTCAAAGTTTTAGGGAATATCAACTAGTAGCAGCGTTCCCCCCTGAAACATGTATATGGAGAGCTGCCTGCAGCTCTGGACATGCTCCAAGAACTCATGTTGCTGCGGAATTATACACCGAAGGACAAACTTCTGCTTTTGAACTTCACCACAAATCCAAATCAGTGAAGGCATGTTGCAGGAAACCTAATCTTTTACCTGGCAAAAAAAAATTGTTTATGGGAAGGAGGGAGTTGACACATGAAGATCATACACTTACAGCAAAGTTAAAGGAATGTAGGAAATCTGATCCAAACAGCAGCCCATTGTAATATAAAACTCGTACGATACCTCAGTCATTAATACCTTTCCACCCCACTCTGATTCACTTTGTGTGAAAAAAAAAGATAGCAATAGTTAAGCAAAATCAATTTTGAAACTTTAATCTGACTTTCTAATCGTTGATGTGGTCAAATTGATGACCGATTTCAACTGCAGTGATTGGAAGAAAAAAGAAATCGAAGCAGCATATTGGAAAACTTTTCTTGATCGATCAACATTCTAACAGTAAATGTGGTTTTTGTTCAGGGAAACTCTATTCATTCCAAAATCGAATGATAGATTAAAAAAAAAAGACAAATCAAAGACGACAATCAAATGACATTTTGAACAATAGCCAAGTCTCTGATGGCATTATCGAATCTTGTGATGGGATTTTTTTGTACGAATGTTTGTAAATCTACCCTACTTCAACAACCAAGTTGAGCATTTTCTTCATTCCATACAACTCAAAGCCTCCAGAAATAATATTCTCCATTAGATAAATTACAATAAAAATTATTTTGGTAATAATTTCCTATTATGCCATACGCCTCTAATAGCCTGCAGTTGAACAGACAGCATATGTTGTAGCAGCAGCGTTCACCACTGTTTACATTTGGCAGGAAGACTTGAGTTACTTTACACCCCCCCCCCCAAACTCTTCCTGGGTGTCTTACACATCAATGCTGCCTTCTGTAGTTGTGCTCGCTCTCCGTCAGACAAAGGGCCTGGGCAGAGCTTCAAGGAGTGCTTGATGAGAACACTGCCATTGTATTCACCCCCATCTAGCATCTGATGCAGATTTCATACTGCCGTCCGTATCAAACAACTTGCATCATTCCAGCTTATATCATCATTTCCCAAAACCCATCACATTTTTCATCTTCGGGAATATGCAGTTTTCAGATCACGGCAGTGCTATTATCTAATCCTACAGAACAATGAACTCGTGTCCCTTAGCAAGAAACGTCTGGACTTACTCTCCCTGAGTCGTTTGTCAGCACATTGCTACTGTAATTAGTTACAAGGCCAGCCATGTAACAATTTGTACATGTAAATTAGGGTTTACCTTTCTCATTTTAATGAGTCAGGAGAACAGAAAAGGCAGCTGGCAGCAGACAAGATTCACCAAAAAATGCTGAATTTACTTCCGGCTGCCCACTGCCAGCAGACATACTGCTATAAAAACACTGAAGAGCAGTCTCCTATGCCGACTAGAAGTTAGGAAAGCCAGCACAGCATTTTAGAAAACCTTAAAAATCCGTCTGATATTCCAAATACAGGCTGAGCTCTAATGTTTGTTGATCTAGGAAGGACACTACATGGTTAGCGCATCTATATGATTGTCATGGGGCATTATCAGAGATTGTTTATACAACCGAGTGCCTTGGGGCTTGAACATCAATTGCATCTGTTATCATAGTTTACGGGGCGGGGGGCAAATATTATGGAATTCAGGAGCCAGTCTGCCAATCCAAGAGCCAGCACAATTATTTTTAGGAGCCAGCCCTATTGACGACAGCTAGAGAAAAACCTCAAAAGTTATGCGCCAGATGTAATTTTTAAGGAGCATTGGCGACCTGGCTCCTGGGATTTGTCCAGCACTGATTTAACAATACATTGCCACTAGAACACACATTATGCTTTAATAATGTCAAATTAGAAGGATAAGAGACAACCAAACCTAATAACTAGGCTTCAATAAACAAAAGGAATTTTCAAACACTGCCCGATAGCCTCAAAATATTTAGTGATTTATTAGAAAGGAGAAAAAAAAAAAAAAAAGGAAAAAAAGAAAAGGAGAGAAAGAGAATGGCCTCATGCAAGAAAATGCTACATCACCACTACCTTAGTCACCATTCACACCATTGACAAAGTTTCAGCGTTTTTTATACATTTTAGAGGCGTTTTCTGTTCAGACGCATGAGCGTTTTAAAGCTCATTTTCAATTGTCCACTACAAAGCAGTCTCAGCTGCAAAAAAACCACTAACAAGAAAAGCGCACAAATGCGCGTTTCCATTGACGGCTATAGAGCAAAACAAGTTGATAATCATCACAAAAGAAGCTCATGTACTATTTTGAACAACTGGCATATTGTTACACGCGTTTCCAAGAACAGCCCCCATAGGAATACATGAAATTTTGATTTGCATGTGTTTCAGCGCAGAAAAAAAGACAACAAAGCGCCCTAATGTTAACGGGGCCTTAAGCTCACCATATACATTACAATCTGATTGTACAATCTCTATTAGATCCAACAACAACAACTATGTAGTACAAGGGTCTGCCTTGATTGTACGATTAGATCATAATGTGTATGGTGGCTCCCAGATGTACCAACAAGTACGCAGTTCAAGGGCCTCCCTGAATGAATACAAACTGATTGGATAAATTAGGCAAGTCCTCATATAACATGGTTTCGGTACATCTAAAATTGATGGTACGCAGATTGCATGGTCAGACTGCAACGTGTATGGCAAGTCTTAAACTCAATACATATTACAATCTGACTGTACAACCTCTAAAAACTTTGTAGTGCAAAGGCCTGCCTGATTGGATCTAAATTTGTTAGATTAGGAAGGTCCTCATAATACAGTTTCAGAAAATCTAAAGTTGATTGTGGTTGTATGGTCAGATTGTAACGGGTATGGTGACCCTTAGTGATCTTTTGTCTCTTTATTATCACTCACCCAAAGTCATCGTCCATAGACTTGAAGAAGAACTTGTAGTTGGGTTTGTTCAGCACCCCCTTAAAATCCGCCAGAGTCACCCGCTCAGAGGGCACAGGCAGCTTGACCAAATAGGGGGTCTCCTGTTCATCCAGGTGGTAGATAACCTTTGTCTCCCCCATGGTGATCCAGCCGGGGTGAGGGGAGCACACAGGGACACTTTGCTTTCCCCAGGTGTGGGAAGGGGCCCAGCCCCGCTGGCTGTCATTCAAGGCAGGCCATGAGAAGAAAGGGGAGACACACTGTGGCCGGGTGACACCCCCCCTCTATGCCCCACACTGAAGCTTCCAGACTGTCTGACCAGCCACTAACAGGCGTCGTTGACCCTCGGAGGAGTCTGGGATTCCGTCCGGCCGTACACAGGCCTGCAGTTCTCCGTCCGCCTCGTCTTCCCGGCCGGTCACTCGGTGTGTTTCTGTCACTCGGTTCCAGTCTCTTCACAGCCACGCATGCGCAGAACTTGTAAATCCCAGCTGCTGTCTGCGCATGACCAGACGAGCCGAGCCGCATAGACTGGTCACGCCTGTTCTTATCACGTGACCCGGATATCCTCCCGTGTCCGAGCAGCTGATGTTTATACTAATGGTGCTGTATGAGCAGAGGGAACCCGGAAGGTGAAACATTCTATAATAAAAGCCAACGCTAACAAGTCATATTCACACTATTACCTAATTCGAGGTGATAAGATCTGCTTCACGGGCGTCAGTATGTAAAAGGTGGTGTGGTAAGTGGTGGTGACCTGCGATGGCGAACTGTACGGGGAGGAGGTGAGCTCTCCTTCCCCACCATCTATCTGTTTCACCAAGGAGGTTAGTACTAGGTTGGGTCTCCTCTCCATTTTGTTGTACGTGGGAGGTCGGAGGGTGTATATTTAGGGGTATGCTTGTTGCACCGTTTCTCAACATTCAATTAGACTTGCCAACTATTATTTCACATATATTACTAATGGAGACTGCTCTTTATGCATACATGAATAGCTAATAGTTTTGAGCTTTCCTACATGTGATAAAACTATTATTTTTATTGTTGATTATCTTCAGTTAAAGTGACATTAAACCCTCAGATTTTTTTAACATAAGCCAATACTGTAATGTGTGCCTTATTGTAATCCATAGTTGTTTCCCTTCTCTTTGCTGCTCTTCCTTTTAAATCCTCATGTCTTCTCATGCTTGGGGAGAACTTCCCTTTTCAGCTCAGGGCCTCTTCCTGTAGTGCTGGCTCAGGTTACAAGCCTATAGAAACGTATACACAGACACTGTGTATCGATTTCCTGAGACAAGGCAGTCTGCTGCAAAACAGAAGTTCTCCCCCAGTATGAGAGCAGATACAGATTTAAAAGGAAGAGCAGCAAAGAGAAGGGGAGACAACCATGGATTTAAAAGGAAGAGCAGCAAAGAAGGGGAAACAACCATGGATTACAGTAAGGCACACATTACAGTATTGTTTTATGTTAAACAATCTGAGGGTTTAATGTCAATTTAAGTGTATCAATAGTGGCAGTCTGTGGTAGGTAATCCATATATTCTCCATTTGACCTTGTCCTGTTTGCTGTTTGATATCTGAAACCGGTGGACTGACCATTTTGGCACTGCCCGAGGGCCCATAGCCTTCCCCCAGGGTTGGCACTTATCTGGAATTCACCCTTGCGATTTCACAGTCCTGTATGTGCTGCATCCGGGTTTCAGGCCAGCTGAAACCTAGATGCATGATGTCAGGCAGACGGGGACAACCACCAAGTCCTGGTGTTCCAACTTGAATGCAACTTGCTAGGATACACAGGTTTGAAAGATCATGGCCTAGAGCAGGGGTCTCAAAGTACTGGCCAGTGAATCGGTTACTTTTGGCCCGCAGGCAGGGCCATCTATAGGGGGGTGGAGGTGGCCCTCCTGTACCAGGCTCAGGTCAGCAGGGGGGTCTGGGGATAGAGAGGGGGCTCTTACCTCTTGCAGCAGCCAGGGGCCCGGTTAGGGTTGCCACCTGTCCGGGATTCACCTGGATCATCCGGGTTTTGAGTCCTGTATGCGCTTGTCCAGGTTTGAGGCCAGCTGAAAACTGGACACGTCATGCGGACAGGGGCAACAATAGGGTCCTGGTGTTCCAACTTGAGTGAATGGAGGAGGCACCGTGCACAAAGGGACGCTGGCGTTTAGCGCAAGGAGGTGCCAAACACAGGGTGTAGATAAGTCTTTAAGGACACAGGGGTTCTGCTTCAGGCAGACTTCTTTCCTCGCTCTCTCCCCTGGCTGTCTCTGCTCGTGCTTGCTCTCCCATGGCTATCTGTCTTCACACCCACCAGACTTTTTAGCAGATGTTGTCACTGTTCTGGCTCCATGATGATTATGTGACCATATCAAGTAAGACATTTTGATGTTGTACATTTATATGAATGCTAAATGTTTATTTTCTATATTAGAATTAGTACTTCTACCAGCTCCTGATGAAGCGAAACATATATCCAAGAAATGCATTGAATCAGCTTTATCCAATGGCCCTTACTTCAATGAGCAATTAAAATATACTGAGGAGTATGGTTTGATACCCTCTTGAATGTACTTATCCACAAAAGTATATGCCTCTGAGTTATGTATACCTATATTGGGATGTGGTATCCCATATAATCAACCCATCGAGTATTGGGGTACATAGTCTTGTCAGCTCTAATATAGCATAGACAGGTTAAACTAGAAATAAAATGCACAGCTGCCTTTTTATAGGTAAAAATGTAATGCTGGAAAATTCTGATGTTTGCACTTGATAAGAATATAAGGTTATAAAGGGTATTTAAAACTGACAATTTTTTTTTTAGACTTTTTGTCCTTTTAATTTTATCTAGTGATCCTGCCAGTAATACACTTCCTAGGATGACATCATTTACTCAAAGTTCTGTATCCATTGAGAAGCAGCATTCCACCTTTAGGATAGAACGTGTTAGGCTTATAGAACCCCCCATCATTGTCTTCATAACATAGGGGAGTTTGTTTTTTAAATTTATTAGAGGCAACTGGGAAGGCGTAATATCCCTGCAAAGTGCACAGGTACTTGTGAGCTCACTAGACTGTCTAAATACAAGAAGCATCTATTCTTACTTGAATCTTGGTGTACTTCATCTATTTCTTCCAGATTCGTTCAGTTTTCAAGTGTGAAACTTGACCTCTGTATAGCAGCTTCCTATATTAAAGGTTGGTCACTGCTCTCTATCTGTGCTGATTTTTTTTTTTTTATACAATAAAGGATTTCTAATGCTGGAATTGTTTTCTTATTTAATTTCACCTTGGAAACGTTTTATCTATGCACCGAAGAAAGGATGCAGGGCATTCCTCAGTGGTGATATGTGTTTTATTGTTTGAGCCTGTAGTGGGTGGACTTGCTGATTACTGTCTCCACTTCTGCTCTTTGCACAGGCTATGTGCAGCTCAGGGATGACCACTACTTTGAAGCAGTAATAACTGGGCTCCTGCATAGTGCCTTTATAATCTCTTGTGGCTATTGAGGATATATTTAAATTAACGGTTTTCTGCTTGTTTAGTTTTAAACTTGAAACAAATCTATTGCAATATTAATGCCTAATTCATTAAAGGAGAGATATATATTTAAATATGGAACCAGAAAACATATTTTCTGTATTTTTCATTGCTACCAGACCTCTCTCCTTTGTGTCACTTTCTTTGCTAGGGGGACAGCGCTAGGCCAGTCGTAAAAAATAATGGTGTGTTGTCCACCTCACATTTGGGTTTATTTGCGTATACAGCCAGAGAGGAACGTCTGATACTAAAAGAATGAAGAAATCATCAGCACTCCTGGGTTCTAAGAATGTCACACTTTAAAATCCAATCAGGTCTCACAATGTAGGTCAATAAACAAGGTCTGACATTCTTGGAACCCAGGAGTGCTGGTTATTTCTTCATTAATGTGCTTGCGGTGGTCACCACTGCACCCATTTCCAGCTTTTGAACTGCTTATCTGTTTGGAATGCGATGGTTTATAGTCTGAACGTTGATACTAAAAGTCTCTAAGAACCCCAAAAGTTTGAGGTGTTCACATGACTCGCAACAATTAAGGTCAAAATGCATGCATCTACAATTAGAAAGAGTGCACCAATTCAGCCTGCATGCAATGTTGCTTTAAATATTCTTTCTGGACAGCAGTTTGCCAATGAACATAAAGACCAGACCCTCTGGAACAGAGGTAGCCAAACTCTGGCCCTCCAGCTGTGGTGGAACTACAAATCCCATGAGGCATTGCAGGATTCTCACAGCCACAGACATGACTCCCAGGGAGAGATGCATCATGGGATTTGTAGTTTCACAACAGCTGGAGGGCTGGAGTTTGGCTACCCCTTCTCTGGAACAATGTACTGAAGAGTGATCAAAGCTAGAGTTGTTTGGTCATAGTAGCAGTAGAATTTTTTTGCCTCAAACCAAAGACAGTATTTCAGGAAAACAACCTCATTAACAACATGGCGGTGGAAAAGGTTTGATTTGGGGTTGGTTTGCTGCCTCAGGGCCTGGGAAGTTTGCAGTTATCTATATATATTGCATGATATGAAAGTGTGCTTGCTGAAAATGAGGCCATCAGACCAAAAGTTGAACCAGCAATGGGTTCTTCTATACAATCATCCAAAGCACACTAATAAATCCACCAAGGAATGGCTCAAAAAAAAAAACATGACATGAGCAGTTAATTCAAGGAAACACTACAGACATCTTTCAACTAAATGAATTTTGTGGGAAGAAGTGCTCAAAAGTTGGTATCCGAGACTGGTGGGGCAGTTATACAAAATGCCTACAAGAAGTCATTCCGCTAGAGTGCAATACCATCTTTTGATGCCAAGAGTGTTCATACTTTTGCCACAGTACACTATGACATCTATTGATATTTTTGCTGAATGAGGTATTGTAAAGGCAATTGTTCACGTATATCACCTTTTATCTGATTAAAGATCTAATGTTTGCCTGTTCAAATATGTTGAAAAAAGTCAACAATTTGCATGGGGTGTATTTAAAGAACATCAGGTTTGTTTTTGTTAACCCTTGCAGTGTGGCTACCCCTACAGACCAGATCTGCATGCGTTTCTGCACAAGCAGTGCAGTGGGTTGTGCCGCGTTCCGAGATGTTTTTGGTAAAAATATAAAACATTTTTTAGTTTAAAATGGGCTTTCAGGGCGTTTTGGATGCGTTCCAGAGCAGGTAAAATAGGGCTTGCTGCAGTTTTTCTACATGCTCTGGAACTGAACGCTGCGGTGTGAACTAGAGCCCAAAATACTATTGAAATACATTGGATGCAGTTTTGATCCGGTCTGTAACTGCTCTGCTCCTGGAACGTGCTTGGTGTGAACAAGGCCTAAAAGCTGGTTTGTGTCTAGGTGCTAAAATAACAAAATTATACTCACCCGAGTCAAGCTGGCCAGCTGTCACAGTGCTCTCTCCAGCCTATCTCCCCCTCCCTGCAGCATTGGAACCTTCTTCAGTGTCCTCGTGCATAGACGTGGTGATTTACGGGACCTTAGGCCGCTGCAGAGGAGGCGAAGAACTGGTCTAAAATGCCGACTCAGAGCATTGGGTGAGTCTAACTTTGACACAAACAAGCACTTAACCCTTGCCGTGCAGGGGTAGCTATTGCAAGGGATAATTATTTATTTATTTTTAATCCCGGAGAGCTTTAATTGTGGGCTGTCTGTGGCTGCTTAAAATGTAAAACTCTTCTTGCTCTGAGCGGCCAAGTCAGACATAGTATTAATACATTAAGTTATCAGTCAGCACTACATTACATTGTCAATCTCCATGTTGTACTTTTATCTCTAAGTCCACATGCAGACAAAATCCAAATATACTTTATTTGTTCCCCGAAATAAATATTTGCATTCAAACATGCAAGCTTTTCAGTCATAATATATGGGCAGTGGCAAACATGGTCATGTAGCAAACTATGGACAAATTGCCAAGGATTCTTGGTCATACATGAATTGTTAAAGGCAACTGACCACCTTTAAAATATTCTGCTACTTAGTTTGGAAATATATAGTAGGTAATAAATGGTGTTTGTAGAAAAAAAAAAGTAAACATTTTTTTATATACCACTATCATCTGATTACTCATCATCTGATTCCTCCTCAGCTTCTTCCAACCACTGTATAAACTTCTGCAGCTGTATGAAAGAATAGTATGTAGAACTCAAATATCAAAAAGACAAAACAGGTAAGAAAGACATACAGACATGAACACACTTACTGCTTGCTTTTTACGCAGCTGCCTTCCCTTGTCTGTTATGTCTGTTTGTGAAAACCAGCGGAGAATCATCTCTTCTGCTAGCACATCTTGCTGGTAAAATCCCATTAGAACCTGCAGTAAAATAAGAACATATGCTAAAAATACACAGCAAGAGTTCAGGCACTAAACAGAAATCAGACAATAAGTTTCAAGGAAGGAAAGGCAGAGGATCAGGGTGTACTGAGCCACCAGAGCATCCATTAGAGCATGCCTGTTCTTAGACAAACTATTCCAGTTTGTTGCTGAATCTGGAGAATCAGAAGGTCCACATACAACATCCCCCACCTGTGACACAGGCCCTACAATACCTCCAGATGTAGGGACCGTGCTCAGACCTTGCTGGCTAAGGGAATCTGCCCGCCTGTTGTCCACACCTGAGAGGTAAATGGCTGCAAGACTGAAACATGACGCTTCACCCAAGACTGGATCCAGTTTACCTCTTGCCTTGAAGAGACTTCTTGATCCTTCCTGATGGTTGATGTATGCCACTGCTGTGACTGCCCAACTGGATCCAGATTGGATGACCCTTCAGCAGGCTGGTGTAACATGGCAGAGCTAGCACAATCACTCCAGGATGTTGATCACGAGACAAGATTCCACCGATGATCAAGTCCTCTGCACGCACGGATAGTGTGCTCAGAGCTCCTCCCCAGCCCACTAGGCTGGCATCCATCGTGACAATCTTCCAGAAGATGTGAACGAAGTTATCAGACTTTCCCAATTTCAGAGCTCAACGAGACACGGGAGATAAGGAGCATAGGAAAGGTGGGCCAAAAACTGGCAAGCATATGAGAGGCAAACTCTCCACCATCAGTTCCAACAACATGTCTCAAACAGATAGAA